TTTTAAGCCCATAGGAACGCATTAAACGCGTTTTGATGCATTTCTATTGGCTTTTTTAAATCACTTAGCGATGAAATCACTTAGCGACATTTTTTCCTGCAGATTAACCTCGCTAAGCAAGGCACCACTGTAAAACATAGATGTTTATTCAGGCCTTCCCGCCAGTCAATACATGATTCTCTCTTATCATTTCTCTTTATTTTTACTCTATTTTCTTGGTTTCCACATTTTCATTTGTAGATTTATGTAATTATGTGTTTTTATTAATTGTTTGTATTATATTGGAAGCCGCTCAGAGTGGCCGCATAGACCAGATGGGCAGGATACAAATCAAATCAAATCAACAAATAAATAAATAAATAAATAAATTTCCAGGTAAATGTGCATCAAATTTTGCTCAGAACAAAGCATATCACAACCTGCTAGGAAAAACATTACTGAAGACACAACGCATCAGAGATCCAGCAAAGCTTTGAGGGCACAAGTTTCACTCACTTGATATTTTGGGGCATTGTTACATTGAGGAAAGCTGCCATTGACTTCACCATTATGTAGTAAGTTATTGTCCACCAAATTCCAGCCCCAGCTCTGATCATCGCTGCCCAAGAGTGCCACATAGCCCTGACACTGCATGGGTGCTCGTTTTGTAGCAATTCCAATTACTGCCACTGTACCAAGAGGACCTTCCCACCAGACTTCCCAGGCATGGCGACCTTCGCTAAAGCCAATCTTGGTTCTTGCACCATCTGTACTCTGAGCAATGGGATTCCGGTGCAGAGTAAATCCATTCTTCTTAATATAGACATTTCTAGAACAATCATTGGTGCTGAAAGCATGCTGAAAGGCACGTACCTGAAAGAGAGGTTTTTTAAAGAAAATAATTTTAGTTAATTTTGTCTTTACACTTCACATTTTAAGATTTTAATTATGTGAATTCTAATAAATGTTAACTCTCATTAGTTGATCCTTTAAATCTGAAAACTCTTTGTTTACTTCTCATGCTATTTGAACATGACTTTTTTTGAAGGAGGGAGCAGCAGAACTACAAATGAAACTAAGACCTAAAAGCTAAGCATTTCAAGTACAAGGTAGAAAGCTGAACCATAGAGTTCATAGTGAGATAAGAAGTTAGGCACTAACTACTCACACAACAAAAAGGACACAACTAAAACAACTGTTCAGATGTTCCTTGCTAATAACAACAACCTACTTAGCACCCACAGCATGCACAAATTGCCATCAATAGTGTAACAGATGTGGACAATATTTCTTAAAGCATGCTTCAAAGTCATGTAATTATGAAAAACAACAAGCTAACTCAAACAACAACAACAAGCACCAGACCTATGCACTAACTAGCTCTTATTAGGAGATACAGTACATATATTCAAATATATGCTTTATTTTATGCGTGGCCTTCTTCTGTAAAGGAAAACCAAACAAAAAATAAAAGATCACCACAAATCAATGACATCAACCTTCACCACCTGCACAGTTGGAGTATACCTGCCACAGAGTTCTCCCAAAGTCTTTCCGAAACACAGCACACAGGGAAATCAAGCAAGATAAAGCATCTACACAGCAATTCTATTCCAGTTTTACTGGCTGACCGCAACTCTGCCTGAGATGAAATACTAATGAATGTGACATTCATTATAATGGTGTCTCACTGATAAGTATCATTTGATCTTCTTTATTCAAAGACTCTTTGCCATGCACTGCAGCATTTAAAAATGCTCTGAATGGTTGGAAAATCCATTAATAAATTACACAATTCTTGTCAGCTTTACAATAAACAGCACCACAATGCCAAGAAAAAACCAATAAGCAAGAAAACTGAAGCACTGATTCTCAAAGTTGCAACATTCTTACAGTAGCCATCAGCAATGGAAACAGTTCAGAAGGAGAATGTGAAAACAACGTGGTCTTTCAGCAGCATGAATCTAAGTGGAATGGCCCTACTTTACTTCTTCTGCTGCAGTCCGATGATGTGGCTGCTCCCATTTAGCAAAACATCTGGCTAAGTTTAACACCACAACAGTGTAAAAAATAACTGGAGCGCAACTAGCAGTAGTGCATATCCACAGTGTGTTCCAAAAGATGCCATGAACACTTCATGAACCAAATAGGGGGCATCCCGCAATTTTCTTTCCACACCACTAGAATGCACTCATTCATAGGGTCATCATACCGGCGGAGGCAACATGGAAGCAAATACAGGTAACAACAGTATGCATGCTGTGCTTCACCTGAGCTACAGAGCATGCCCAGAATTTCTTTTAAGAATCACAAATTTGAATAAAACCAAAGTAATAAGCAGACAGCGGTCTGAGATATATGAAGACGTCTAATCCTATCTCCCCACATCCCGATTTAAGGGGCATGCATCCTGACGCGACTTCTAATCAGCGAAGAACATCGGCCCCTCCGACTCAGGGTTGGGGATGGGGATCCCCAGCGGACTAAAACACAGGACACTTCGAGTGGGGCAGGGAGGCCTCTTCTTGCACCGACGGTTTCCTCATCCACCTGCTCGTACACTAAAAGAGAGAGAGAGAGGAGCGCGTGCACCGAGCGTCGCCCTCCCGGGGGGGGAGGCAGCCTGACCTTGCCCTTGTAGGTGGGCACATTGCAGAGGATGTCGGTGCGCAGGGCCTCCTCAGCCAGGCTACGAGCGGCCAGGCTGCGCCACACCTCGCTGTTCTCATCCCCGTGCAGGACGCGGTACCACATCTTGCACACCAGCGCGCAGCTCTTCAACTCCCGCAGATCTAGGTAAGAAAAGAC